AGTGACTGGAGAGAAGTCAGCGGCAGGCGGAGAAGTTGGAGAACCATCCGGTGCTCAAGAGAAGGACTAACTGTACTGCCTTCTTAGTTGCCAGTATCAGGCTGACTTCAATGCTCTTATTTTAACGTATAGAGAAGGGGTCTTCAACCTTTTCTTGTCCAGGGACCTCCTCCCAGGCTAACCAGCAACCCCCCATCATACGTTAGCAAAAACAATACAAATCTCCACATCTTGTCATATCATCAGGTGAATGATAATGGCAAGGTGAAGTAGCTTAATAAACATTTTCAAATGAATAGATTTGGTAGATTGTTTATTTTGACCACATTATAATTGGAAGAGGAAGTGTAAACTCTAACATAGCCTATTAGCTAGAAAGGTAACTCCAAACACATTTTTGCTAAGAGCAGCTGTTTAGCTAGCTAAACAAAGGTTAGCCATGTGCTGGCAAAAATGTCCACGTCAAGAAAGCTTACCAGCAGCCATCGGCACTTTCCGCACTGGTAGCCTATTCGCGGATGCTTTTTCAAAGCCCATGTCAGATCCTCCAGTGAGTGTAATTGGCTCCAATTAGTGTAATTTGCCCAATATTAGGAGTTACAGTGGGGAAAAAAAGTATTTAGTCAGCCACCAATTGTGCAAGTTCTCCCACTTAAAAAGATGAGAGAGGCCTGTAATTTTCATCATAGGTACACGTCAACTATGACAGACAAAATGAGATTTTTTTCTCCAGAAAATCACATTGTAGGATTTTTAATGAATTTATTTGCAAATTATGGTGGAAAATAAGTATTTGGTCAATAACAAAAGTTTCTCAATACTTTGTTATATACCCTTTGTTGGCAATGACACAGGTCAAACGTTTTCTGTAAGTCTTCACAAGGTTTTCACACACTGTTGCTGGTATTTTGGCCCATTCCTCCATGCAGATCTCCTCTAGAGCAGTGATGTTTTGGGGCTGTCGCTGGGCAACACGGACTTTCAACTCCCTCCAAAGATTTTCTATGGGGTTGAGATCTGGAGACTGGCTAGGCCACTCCAGGACCTTGAAATGCTTCTTACGAAGCCACTCCTTCGTTGCCCGGGCGGTGTTTGGGATCATTGTCATGCTGAAAGACCCAGCCACGTTTCATCTTCAATGCCCTTGCTGATGGAAGGAGGTTTTCACTCAAAATCTCACGATACATGGCCCCATTCATTCTTTCCTTTACACGGATCAGTCGTCCTGGTCCCTTTGCAGAAAAACAGCCCCAAAGCATGATGTTTCCACCCCCATGCTTCACAGTAGGTATGGCATTCTTTGTCCTCCAAACACGACGAGTTGAGTTTTTACCAAAAAGTTATATTTTGGTTTCATCTGACCATATGACATTCTCCCAATCCTCTTCTGGATCATCCAAATGCACTCTAGCGAACTTCAGACGGGCCTGGACATGTACTGGCTTAAGCAGGGGGACACGTCTGGCACTGCAGGATTTGAGTCCCTGGCGGCGTAGTGTGTTACTGATGGTAGGCTTTGTTACTTTGGTCCCAGCTCTCTGCAGGTCATTCACTAGGTCCCCCCATGTGGTTCTGGGATGTTTGCTCACCGTTCTTGTGATCATTTTGACCCCACGGGGTGAGATCTTGTGTGGAGCCCCAGATCGAGGGAGATTATCAGTGGTCTTGTATGTCTCCCATTTCCTAATAATTGCTCCCACAGTTGATTTCTTCAAACCAAGCTGCTTACCTATTGCAGATTCAGTCTTCCCAGCCTGGTGCAGGTCTACAATTTTGTTTCTGGTGTCCTTTGACAGCTCTTTGGTCTTGGCCATAGTGGAGTTTGGAGTGTGACTGTTTGAGGTTGTGGACAGGTGTCTTTTATACTGATAACAAGTTCAAACAGGTGCCATTAATACAGGTAACGAGTGGAGGACAGAGGAGCCTCTTAAAGAAGAAGTTACAGGTCTGTGAGAGCCAGAAATCGTGCTTGTTTGTAGGTGACCAAATACTTATTTTCCACCATAATTTGCAAATAAATTCATAAAAAATCCTACAATGTGATTTTCTGGATTTTTTTGTCTCATTTTGTCTGTCATAGTTGACGTGTACCTATGATGAAAATTACAGGCCTCTCTCATCTTTTTAAGTGGGAGAACTTGCACAATTGGTGGCTGACTAAATACTTTTTTTCCCCACTGTATAAAGTTGACATATGATAGTCTCCTCTTTTCTACTGTAGGTATGTAATTCAAAATTAGTTTGTTGTTGATAACGATATTTATAAAAAAAATAGAAATTAAAAAATCGATTATTTTTGCGGACCCCATGCAGTACGGCCGCGGACCCCCGGTTGAATACCCCTGTTCTAGAGGACTCCATGGCAAAGTCCCCTCATCTGACAGACATACTCGTTCCATACAAGCCAGTCAGGATATTCTGCGCCCAAGGAGCTAGCCTGGTAATGTTTTTTAAAACTTATATCAAATGTTTTTGTATGCATATTTTACTGTGTTATGTTATGTATGTTAGGCATTTGCTGTTTTGTAATGACTATGTAGAGTGGGATCATTGTTACTCTGTCCTCTGGCACTATCTGGTGGTTGTTACAATACACAACACCATTAACCCTCTAGAGTCTAAGCCCTGTCTAAGCCGGGGGTGGGGGGATCGAAGCTAACATATGGACTTGTTTTAAGATGATCATACCAAGGATTATTTAGCTATTTGATTTTACATTTTAAGACCCCTTAAGTATAAAAAAATATATACAAAAACTAGAAGAAAAATAGCATTTGGCATTACTGCCATTAGCCAATAGAAACGCATTGAATAACAGATTCACTACATGGAACAACAGCTAGTCCCCCAAAAAATCTAAAGGAAGTTTGTTCTGAAGTGTCTGTCCTGCATCTGAGAGATATAAGAAAGATCAGAAAATACATTTATCCCCTTATTTTAGGCACTAAACTACAGTATTTCCATATATACACTTCCATTCAATTTTAGTACTGGTACTGGGGACCTTCAGATTAGTCTTGTGAGGTCGGTGGGCGTCCAAGAGAAAAATGGAGAACACTGTCGTGTTCGTGAGTCTCATTTTTCAATAGAGTGGTCATAATAGTTTGTAGGCCAAACCGTTCGGACGCTACATATGATTATGAGAAGACTGATTTTCGGGATGCCTAGCTCTGCCACCTTTCACCACAGATGCGGAAAGGCGATATCAGCGGAAGCGGTGGATTGAGACGCAGCCCATGCAAAAAAACATCTAGCTTCAACAGAGATTATAATGAGGATTTTTTATCATGTTCATTAGATTTCCGCGGGGCGCAACCATTTTAGGCTAAGGGTTAACAAGCGGAGCCGAGAAACTCAATGTGTCAACAACCTCCGCTGTGTATTATTTATATCACGATCAATTAAATGTTGCCTTTGGGATTCTATAAAGTACAATTTCAGTGTGTGTGTGTGTGACCTACCCTCGTATCATGTGTTTGAGTATGTGTGTGACCTACCGTCAAACTCTCCATTGGCCTCATCAGTGCGGACACCAGCCATGTGAAAGGTGTTTGCGACAGACTGAGCTAACATGCCCTCCAGTCTCTGTAGAGTGGCCTGGCCTTCAGCCGTCAGCCCCGACACACCCTCCTCATATGTACAGAATGACGGGATCAAATCCAAATCAAATGTTATTTGTCACATACACGTGTTTAGCAGATGTTATTGTGGGTGTAGCAAAATGCTTGTGCTTCTAGCTCCGACAGTGCAGGTAGCTTAGTGGGTAAGAGCGTTGTGCCAGTAACCGAAAGGTCGCTGGATCTAATCCCCGAGCCGACTAGGTGAAAAATCTGTCGATGTGCCCTTAAGCAAGGCACTTAACCCTAATTGCTCCTGTAAGTCGCTCTGGATAAGAGCGTCTGCTAAATGACTAAAATGTAAAATGTAATATCTAACAATTTCACGACATATACCCAAAACACACAAATCTAGTAAGGAATGGAATTTAAGAATATATACATATATGGACAAGCAATGACAGAGGGGCATGGACTAAGATACAGTATAATATTATAGAATAGAATACAGTATATACATATGAGATGAGTAGTGCAAGATATGTAAACAGTGTTCCATTTCTTAAAGTGGCCAGTGATTTCAATAGGCAGCAGCAGCCTCTAATGTGCTAGTGATGTCTGATGGCCTTGAGATAGAAGATGTTTTTCATTCTCTCGGTCCCAGCTTTGATGCACCTGTATTGACCTCGCCTTCTGGATGATAGCGGGGTGAACAGGCATTGGCTCGGGTGGTTGATGTCCTTGATTATCTTTTTGGCCTTCCTGTGACATCGGGTGCTGTAGGTGTCTTGGAGGGCGGGTAGTTTGCCCCCAGTAATGCGTTCGGTAGACCGCACCACCCTCTGGAGAGCCCTGCGGTTGCGGGCGGTGCATTTGCCATACCAGGCGGTGATACAGCCCGACAGGATGCTCTCAATTGTGCATCTGTAAAGGTTTGAGGGTTTTAGGTGCCAAGACAAATTTCTTCAGCCTCCTGAGGTTGAAGAGGCTCTGTTGCGCCTTCTTCACCACACTGTCTGCGTGGATGGACCATTTCAGTTTGTCAGTGATGTGTACGCCAAAGAACTTGAAGCTTTCCACCTTCTCCACTGCGGTCCCGTCGATGTGGATAGGGGGGTGCACCCTCTGCTGTTTCCTGAAGTCCATGATCATCTCCTTTCTTTTGTTGACGGATATCAGGATATCACCCTGACCATGCTCTGGAGGACAGAGAGAGAATACCACCTGTGAGTGCGTGTGCATACCTGTGTGTGTAGTAGTAGCAGCTGATAGAGTGAGTGCGTAGTTGTTAGGCTTCTTACCTGCCTCTTATCCGTTGAAGGGAGAAAGAAGGTGGAGATACAATGTTAGTATTATCATCTTCTTGATTACTCCATCTATGGGAGTTTGAACTGTATGTAAAAGTGTGTGTGTGTACTGTGTGCTTGTATAAATGAGTGTGAGTTACACACCTGCCTCCTCCACATCGTACTCATCTCCGTCAAAGTCCCCGTCGGAGTCTTCGTCATCTGGGTCTGGGTGCAGGGCCTGACACTCACACATCGCTGAAAACATAGACTCCACTGGACACACGTTAGGGAAATCCTAGCTAGCATTGTGATTCCAAACTAGAGCTGCATGTCAAAGAACTGGAAAGCCAAAAGCTTTAGACATCCCTAATGCATGTGTGTAGCTTGTTATTGACTATTGTACAGCACTTGTTGTATTATATGTGGAAGATGTTATCTGTGACCTGCTTAATAAAGATTGTGGGGATCTATTTTCTCATAACTGGAGGGATGAATAGCTTAGAAGGAATGCATTAATGATTAAAGCATAAAAGGTTTGTACTGTACTGATATGAATTGTTTCACATAACAAGCTGTGATTCATGTGAGGAACGTTAGGGGTAGGATGATAAGACTTGTATTTCTCACAGATACAAACACTGCCTCTTTGTTGTCTGTGAACTGTCCTTGAACGTAGGTACTTAGAGTACAGTGGAACGGTGTCTTTTGGGTGCTGACTCCACAGGTTGTTATGATAAAAACTTATGCCTGGCAACAGTGTGCAACAGTGGAGCGCCAAGGGGCTGGGACCAGCCGGTGCGCCAACGGATAGGCTGAGTAAGTCTAAACCACGCTCAGTCTCTACTCTGATTGGCCAGCAGGGAGCGGGAAATATCTCTGTCCGAGTATTTTAAGAAGAACTCATAACAATGGATCAGTTCTCTGTCTGCCCTGCGTGGTATTTCAGTGAGCCTGTATACGAACCTTCATACTTATCATACATACATTTTGCATATAATAAATTTAGCTTGGATTGAAGATCTCTTGATTCTTATTCCAATACCAGATTTGAATTACGCAATTTCTAACAAGATGAATTTAATTTAGTTTAGCCCTGCCCTACTAGACATCCTTCTCCCCTCAGACTTACATGCTGCCTTGTTGCTAGGGACGAAGCGGATCTCTGTGATCCCCTCAGACTCATCTTCCTCACTGCTCTTATCCTCATCATCATGGGCATTCTCCTGCATCTCATCTGGGGAACACACACTTTAAGATCTTCTTACTCGATCACAAGTTTGCGTTTCACTGTGAGTTTGATATTGACCTTGATGGACAGGTGTGTGACTCACCGTTGAGTTTGGCGTTGACCATGACGTATAGATGTTCCTGTGGGTAGGCGCCAGTGGCGGCTGGTGAAAAATATTCTCGGTGGGGCTGTGCCATACTTTTTTTTTCCTGTAACCATCGCGATATATTTTAACACAAACTGCAGGAAAGCAGTGCTCAGTGAAACATTCAGTAATTATTTAATGCCAATATTAAAAAGTTGAGGCATTCTTACACAAAAACATATTACACAAACCCAAGCCTTTCATTTGCATTTAAAGTGAACTTTTCACCATTGGTAGTAAACAGGCAACGCAACAGGCATGCTGTCAGAACAGAGTGGAAAGTGGACAATAACATGAAATTATTATAAAGTTTATAGGAAATCTTACACTGTATAAAAGGATGTATAATATAGAAATGGATATCAAGTGGATGAACTCAAACCTTTGACTGGAAGAATAGCATACAGTATTTTATGATCATACTAAATGTGACTAATTGTTAATGTGCTCCAGAACTGCAACAATTAATTGATACAAAACAACATATATACAGTAATATTAGCAAAGACACTATTAAGACTTTCTAGAGTACCATATATAACTGGATTTTTTATGCTAAGGTCAACTATATACAAAGAAACATGCGGCCAGAGCTGCTCTGTGTGTGTGTGTCTGTCATCTTATTTGTACAGGAATTTTATATATATATATAGACAGACAGACAGACAGACAGATAGTGTGTATATACACACAAACTATGTCTAGTAACTGCTTTTAACCTGTGATGTACATAATTAACTGATGTTATTACGTTTTAAAGCCTTTTTCTATTACATTTGTGAGAGGGATGCAACATGGATAAGAGCGTCTGCTAAATGACTAAAATGTAAAATGTAAACATCATTTTGTTCTGCTGTGCACTTAGCAATAAAGTTAATCTTCAATAACAACTAGGCCTCTTCTAGAAATTGACCTGGTGGACACCTGAATAATTATTACAAACTGTGTAGTACTTTCCTGCATTATTATCAACGTCTGATTGTGTCTTCTCTTTCCTTTTAAAATACTAAAACAAATATAATTGTGACGGCTCTATGATAATCACTCACTTTGATGACCAGACACATTTAGGCTTTTAAACTGTTGTAAGTGAACTATTCATCTTTCTAACAACATCTTTATCAGCCAATAGTAAATATAGTTATTTACCTGATTGTTAGCATGCTGTCTGTGAACCTCTGGACAAGTGCTTTAATGAAGACAGGGTCGATGTTCCTCTTCTGCAGCTGGCTGAAAAGCATGTCCACATTTGGCATGATCTTGTGGAACAGTGCCAGGAAAAAACAGAAAGCCTCGTCTTCGAGCATCCTCACAAAGCCCCCCGCCTCTCTGACAGTCGGGGCATCAAAGTTCCCAGAGTCTCTGATGGTCTGGAAACACGTTAGTGGGTGGAAACGTCAGTCGTCTCGTCAGCTTGAATGGCGATAAAATCAGCACTCTTTACTTCCTCCAGGATGTAATCCTTAAGCACTGACAGCATACATTCCAACAGCTCGTTCTGTATCGTCTTTGACGTGCCCTTAAAAACGGTAGCTGTCTTCAGGTGCTCCTCCAGCACACTGTCGAGGGAGGCAACAAAATCCACTAAGCCCCGGAAAATGCCGGGGTTGTCCGAGGAGTCAGTCTCCTCGTGCCCACGCAAGGCCAACTCAAAAGCCCCACAGAACTTCACACAATCGATAATTTTGGATAGAATGTGCCTGTTTTTATCCACCTCCTCATTGTGTTTCCTCACCGCAATCCTGTGGCCGTCATCCAGCTGCGTAGCAATGTTCACCCTTCCTAATACAGCTAGCTTTACAGAGTTGTCCATGTGTGCCCTGGTGTTCTCATGTTTCTTTACCTTCTCTGACAGGTGCTTCATATCCCTCACTCCGGTACCTGTCCATGCTGAATCTGACCCCGTCCGGCCCGTCGTTTTAAAAAGCAAGCACGGAAAGCAAAATAAAGCATTAGCATCAGTGCACCCAGCTAGCCAAGCCTTCCTGGTGTACCAGCTACGGGAGAAGCCGCGCATATACTGCTTCCCTTTCTCGCTAGCCTGCTGTCTGATTGAGAGGTCAGGTTGATCTGGGCCCAGCTCTTTCACCCGAACTTTCTCTGACAAAGTTCTCCTCTCAAACGGATCTTGGAGGAGAGATTTCACCGAGTTAGGGTTGGGTCTTGGAGGAGTAACGTTTGCGCTCACCATTGTCGTCTAGTAAAAATGGCGCCACTGGAGCCCGGTCCTTATTTTATCAGGGGCGAGCTTGGGGCGATAAAATAATCGCCCTCCTTGGATTCGAATTAAAATCGCTGATTAGCTACATTTTATGTCATACATTCATATCTTAAATTAGCAATTGGCTTAACTGCTACGTAGACCCGCCTCCTCGGGGCACTTTCTGTATCGCCCAGAGCTGACGAGGCGTTTGACAGGCAGAGGAAAGGTTGCGAATATGATTTTCTATCATATCTTACACATATTACTGTGTGCATTCCATATTTCAAACACACAAATATTGACATACTGATGTTTTTATTATTATTATTATTATTTTTATTTATTTTTTATTTTATTTTTTTAAATAATTTTATTTAAGGGGGCGGCGCCCTAGCGCCCTCTATCGGCCAGCCGCCACTGGTAGGCGCTGAGGTCTCGTGAGATGGCGTGCAGGCTGATAGTGGGGTACTCCAGAGAGAAGCCCATCCCTGACCCGTCAAACCACGACAACCGCCTGGAAAACACAGGAAAGCAACATTGTGACTACTAGTCATAGGGTGAAAACTCATTGTATTTCCTTGATTCATCGTGTCCTCCCTCCTTGCCTCCTCAAAACGGAGGAACCTCAGATCTTCCCTGCCAATGTGCTTTGAGAAGGAGACAAGGAGGGAGGATGTGAGGTAAGGAGATGAGATTAATCAATTAAATACAATTGAGATTCACACCAAGTCATTGACTAGTTAGCTAGCTAACATGGAACGTGATGCAAAATTCAAGTTCATGGTTAAATTGTAAGTCGCTCTGGATAACAGCGTCTGCTAAATGACTAAAAAAATGTACAAAAAACGTTTATTTTCAAAGCCAAAACACAAAGGAAACATGTAAGTATTTAAATTTCCTGATTTAAAGACTTTAAAGAAATTAGCTAGCATGCTAACTAACAAATGTAAACTGGCTAACAATGCTATCTAACTTGCTAGCCACCACACCAGAACATCACATACGTTTCAGCAACGTAGAGAGTCCCTGCGCCGAGACCCTTCCCGTCCAACACTGCTGTGGTCTCGGCTTGTAAATGCCGGACTCCCTCGCTAGGTGGAGGGACACTCCTTAGCAGAACCATCCTCGGAAACTGATGGAGATGACGGCAGAGAGAACACTCTTTTGGTTCGGTCCGGAGCTGTCAACAACACTGCACTTCTTTGACCTGGCTGGCTGGCTAGCTATGTCGTTTCCCAAAGCTGCCTATTTAACTATTCTGAACAGAAACGGATAGCTAGATGTCTGTGCAGGCAAGACAAACACGAAGACGATATAGCTAGTCACCTAGGTATCGATAGCCTGAAGAGTTAACGTTAGTCAAAATATTTATTTAGTCGACATTCCCCAGAAACGTTAGTGTCACAAGCTTGCTCGGTAGTATTTATTAGACCCAGCTGCTTTCACTGCTAGCTAGCTAGTAGCTAACGTTACCGTTCTTATTATACTCAGTGGTACTACTCCGAATCCACATCCCCGCCAAGAAAGGAAGTTTCCACTAGTTACCACAAACACAAAGGAAAAATGCTTGGTAAAAAAAAGAAGTGCTTATTGGTCTTAAATTAAGGTTAGGATTCTTTATTATAGCTCATAGTTAGGGTTAGGCATAATGTTAAGTGTGGTTAAGGTAAGGTTTCAAATCAAATTTGAATAAGATATATTGTAGAAATAGGCGAGGTTTATGACTTTGTGGCAGTGGTAACTAGTGACGACCAGGAGTAGAGGCAGATATATTAGAGAAAGGAGAGGGAGAAGGAACAGCGACGGCAAGAAAACATTACGGCCAACTACAGGAAGTGATTATTTACCTCTTCCTACTAGCCGCGCGAAAATTTAAACAACAACATACACTACATGTCCAAAAGTATGTGGACACCTGCTCGTCGAAGGATCTCATTCCAAATTCATGGGCATTAATATGTAGTTGGTCCCCCCTTTGCTTCTATAACAGCCTCCACTCTTCTGGGAAGGCTTTCCACTAGCTGTTGGAACATTGCTGTGGGCACTTGCTTCCATTCAGCCACAAGAACATTAGTGAGGTAGAGCACTGATGTTGGGCGATTAGGTCTGGGTTGCAGTTGGCGTTCCAATTCATCCCAAAGGTGTTCGATGGGGTTGAGGTCAGGGCTCTGTGCAGGCCAGTCAAGTTCTTCCACACCGATCTCGACAAACCATTTCTGTATGGACTCGCTTTGTGCACAGGGGTATTGTTATGCTGAAACAGGAAAGGGCCTTCCCCAAACTGTTGTCACAAAGATGGAAGCACAGAATCGTCTAGAATGTCATTGTATACTGTAGCGTTAAGATTTCCCTTCACTGGAACTAAGGGGCCTAGCCCGAACCATGAAAAACAGCCCCGGTTCATTATTCCTCCTCCACCAAACTTCACAGTTGGCACTATGCAATGGGGCAGGTAGCGTTCTCCTGGCACCCGCCAAACCCAGATTTGTCTGTTGGACTGCCAGATGGTGAATCGTGATTCATCACTCCAGAGAACGCGTTTCCACTGCTCCAGAGTCCAATGGCGGCGAGCTTTACACCACTCCAGCCGACGCTTGGCATTGCGCGCATTGTGATTTTAGGCATCTGTGCGGATGCTCGTCCATGGAAACTCATTTCATGAAGCTCCCGACTAACAGTTTTCGTGCTGATGTTGCTTCCAGAGGCAGTTTGGAACTCAGTAGTGAGTGTTGCAACCGAGGACAGACTATTTTTACGCGCTTCAGCACTGATGAACTGACTTGTTGGAAAGGTGGACGTTGAAAGTCACTGAGTTCTTCAGTAAGGCCATTCTACTGCCAATGTTTGTCTATGGAGATTGCATTGCTGTGTGCTTGATTTTATACACCTGTCAGCAACGGGTGTGGCTGAAATAACTGAATCCTCTAATTTGAAGCGGTGTCCACATACAGTGCATTCGCAAAGTATTCAGACCCCTTGACATTTTCCACATTTTTTTAAGTTACAGCCTTATTGTAAAATTGATTTGTTTTTCTCCCCCCTCAATCTAAACACAATACCTCATAATGACAAAGCAAAAGCATGTTTTTAGAAATGTTTGCAAATTTATTACAAATAAAAAACTGAAATTTACGTAAGTATTCAGACCCTTTACTCAGTAGTTTGTTGAAGCATCTTTGGCAGTGATTAGCCTTGAGTCTTCTTGGGTATGACGCTACAAGCTTGGCACACCTGTATTTGGGGAGCTTCTCCCATTGTTCTCTGCAGATCCTCTCAAGCTCTGTCAAGTTGGATGGGGAGTGTCGCTGCCGAGCTATTTTCAGGTCTCTCCAGAGATGTTTGATCGGGTTCATGTCCGGGCTCAGCCTGGGCCACTCAAGGACATTCAGAGACTTGTCCCAAAGCCACTCCTGCGTTGTCTTGGCTGTGTCCTTAGGGTTGTTGTCCAGTTGGAAGGTAAACCGTCGCCCCAGTCTGAGGTCCTGAGCACTCTAGAGCAGGTTTTCATCAAGGATCTCTCTGTACTTTGCTCCTTTCATATTTTCCTCGATACTGACTAGTCTCCCAGTCCATGCCGCTGAAAACCATCCCCACAGCATGATGCTGCCACCACCATGCTTTACCGTTGGGATGGTGCCAGGTTTCCTCCAGATGTGACGCTTGGCATTCAGGCCAAAGAGTTCAATCTTGGTTTCATCAGACCAGAGAATCTTGTTTCTCAAGGTCAGAGTCCTTTAGGTGCCTCTTGGAAAACTCCAAGCGGGCTGTCATGTGCCTTTTACTGAGGAGTGGCTTTCCGTATTTGTGTATTTAATAAAACTCCAAAGAGCCCAAGAAAATCTGGGGCCATTGAGAAAAGGCTCAAATTGGAGGTACTGTATGTTGTCTGCCATGAGAGTAGTCTACATTAGTAGGCTACTTCCTAGCTCCTATTTATTACTATGCAGGCTATTTACCATGGGCCCCATACCATTTCTAAACCTTCTGTTCATTTACTAATATTTGCACATTCTTATTCTAGATTTACAAAATGGCACTAGGTGGACAGGCTGTTAAGTCAAATATGCACCAGAGCAAAGTATAGAACCCAGGAAACTCACAGTACCACTACCTATGGCCATGGTAACCGCAACACAGTCCTGCCAGACCTCTGAGACAACCACTCCTCCACAGCAACACAACAGTAGATCTGCACACAAAAGCAAGCTGCATGTTCAACACCTGAGGAGATCTTAAACCAGGAAGGTGAAGGCACTTACATTCCCTATATAGTGCACTACTTTTGACCAGAGCCCTACTATAGGGAATAGGGTGCCATTTTGGGGCGCATACAAATACTTATGTTGAGCCGAGGAGATGGCAGCAGGCCTACTGGACTCCTGATAGCTTATATATATATATATATTACACACACTGTAGTCTTTATCTGATATGGCATTATCATTAAAATGTTTCAACAACATCTTTAAAAAGCACAACATTAAAATCATTACCGTAGGGCAGGTAGCCTAGTGGTTAAGAGCGTTGGGCCAGTAACCAAAATGACGCTGATTCCAATCCCTAAGCCGACTAGGTTAAATATTTGTCAATGTTCCCTTGAGCAAGGCACTTAACCCCAATTGCTCCTGTAAGTCGCTCTGGATAAGAGTGTCTGCTAAATGACTAAATAAAAATAAACTAGAACAATTACAAATAATTTGTAGACCGCAAGAAGCCCAAACATGTATAATATGACTAAAATAAAATCATTTCAAACCTTGCTTACATTTGTATACGATACTTGGGAACAGATTTCCAAATTGAAAGTCATTTGGAGCTGATTGGGGGGCCAAATAAAACCACCATTTGGCCCATGGGCTGCCAGTTGGGGAACCCTGCCGTAGGAAGTACTCAATGAATGTGGTTATATTGGTATAACAGCAAACAAAAACACACCAATTGTGTCAGTCAATGAACATGTCCTCCCATTGCATTGGTTCACTGTGTAGTCAATCTTTGTATAGTAAAGTAAAAGATAAAAGATTTCAAAAGCAGACGACAAGGTGCATTTGTGAGATGCTTGAAGATTGGTTTTTAATAACTTATAAAACATCTATGTTACAGCATCAACTATAAACATACTGTACATACACTGTGGATGAATAACAGGGTGATTTCTTGTTTTTTTTCAGACTGAACATTTAAAAATATTTGATATTTGGGGGTGGGGAGAGAGAGAAACCAACATAAGAACAGTGAGCTAGAATGATAGAATCTACAAGCGGTTCAGATGGAACTCTGTGATGATGAAAACAGAACAGACAGTGGACTGAGGGCCAGATACAGCATTCACACCTGGGGCCATATTCATTATGGCACACAGCAGCAAACATTTTGCAAGTTCAGGTAGGCCCTCCCTGTTTCAGTCCTTTTTCTGACTAATGAATATGACCCCCATCTTCTCAAATAGTAGTAGGATGTAGAATGTATAGACTGGACTGGAGAGTAGTAGACTACTGTGGAGAAATGATTCACTCCTCACTGAGTGAGAGAAGGAACACTTCAACTAACACTAAAGCCAACAGTGAATTGATTTATTGAACATAGCTAGTTAGATCGTTTGCCAGTGTCCATCTGCCAGCCCCCAGTGTACTGTAGCTATAACTACAACTGTATCCAGAACTGTGGTCAAATCTGCAAAGTGCCATTTGAGATGAATCAGCCTGTATGAATCTCTTTCTGGTAGTTATCTTCCTGGTTCACAACAGAACAACAGGAGTAGCTCTTCCATTGGTTTAAAACATCCAACTCTCTCTTTTTTGGGATAATTAAACGCTCCAGTCCATTTGCTCTCTCCTTCATGGTATATAGAACACTATTTTACAGGGAGACAGAGAAGAGAGAAGGGAACATCTAGTATTTTACAGGATCAGCAGCCGAGCAGAGAGAGTATCTAAGTACAGTCTAAGGAGGGTGTCTGTCTGGTGGAGGTCAGGACAGTCCTTCACCCTCTGGCTGTGTATTGTGTTGTGTGTCTGTGTGTTGGATGGTTCTAGTGTGTTTGGTCCAGTAGTTATTCATCCTGTTTAGAGGAAGGGAAGGAGAAAGGGGAGGAGGGATGATGAGGTAATGAGAGGTCCAGTTGAAAGGTTGTTGTTGAAAGGCAAGAAAGTAAAAAATATATAACTAAAAGTAAAAGACTGTATGTCATCATGCGTCTGACTGGTCAGGAGGTGAGGGACTGTTAGACCTGTTCTGCCCAGCTCTGGCTGCTCTGTCCCTGGGTAAGGCTGCGCTCTCAGCCCCAGGCTTTGTTGAGCCTCTAGAGGCCTGCTGTCCGTTAGGGCTGTTTGATTCCTTGTCTTTTGACAACGGCTTTCTCAGCTTCTTCTCCTCCTCTTCTTCCTTGTCCTCCTCCTTATTTTTTCCCTCTTTCTCCTCCTCTTCATCAGAGTCGATGCGGTTAAGTCGTTTTCGGATCGGACGATCTTCCTCGGATGACGACTCTGATTCCCCTTCATCATTATCATCTTTAGTGGAGGGTCTGCTTTTCTTCCTCCGCTGTTCTATCAACACCTCCCTCCGCTTCCCTCTGCCCATCTTCTCTCCTCCCCTCTTCTTTCCCCTTGTTCTACTCTCCTCCACCTCTTCTCTCCGCCTCTTTCCCCTCATTCTCTTCTGTTCTTCTTCCTCCTCAGACTCTCTGGAATGGGAGGATTCTGAAATAGAGGGAGCGAGCGGCGGATTCAGACAGCAGCAGGAGTTAACCCCGCATTCAGACACTAGCGGCAAAAACGTTCCTTTGCCTGATGCAATGGAATCGATGGCTCTATTTTCTCTGCGTCTGGTGACGTGTTTTCCGCTTCATCCAGCCAACCAGGAAATGTTGGTTTAGGGACAGTGGTCGGTTTAGATTGGTTTAAATTTAGGAGGGGGAGGGGTGGAACGTAATCGGCACGCTTTCACTTGCGGAAGCAGAAGCGTTTTTTTCCGCTAGTGTCTGAATGCAGGTTGGTTATGAGTTGTTCACATTCACTAAATGACAGCCTGTCAAGTTCCACATGGACCTCCCTAATTGGGGGCAGGGATGGTAACCATAGTAACTGACCATCGCTGTTTGAGCTGGAGAGACGACGGCGGCGGGGTGTGGCCTTGTCCTTATTGGTGGTTGTCTGGGAACCCTCGGATTCTGACGTCTCGCGGTAGTTCACCTCCCACTTCCGGCCCCGCCTTAAACCACACCTCTTCCTGTCCCCATCGCTGTCACTCAAATCACTGGTCTCTACATAGAGAGAGAGAAGCAGAGGGACAGAGAGAGGGAGGGAGATACTTTTCTTTTACTTTCAACTGTTATTTAACCTCCAGCACCAAACCTCTGGATTTCTGTTTGTGTGTCATTTTTTCCCAACTCATATTCCAAGCCTTACTCACCTATCTCCTCTTCACTCTCCTCCTCCTCCCCCCATCCTCTCCTCTGTCTGCGTGGGCGTTTCTTGCACTTTGCTGCAGTCCTGGAGGTCCTGGTGGTTCTCTGTTTAGGTGCCCTTCTCTGTGCCCGTGTGGACTGGCTTACGAAGCCTGGGTCGCTGGCAAAGCTGTCCACATCACTGGCTGCTTCCTCATCACCTGACGCTACAAACTCCTCCTCCTCCGTACTACACACACACACACGTTAAAAGTTTGCATTTATAGTGCTCAAACTAAAAATTACTTTACAATATGGGGTGTAGCTCCAATGCGTAGCACCCACCCACACATCCACGGAATTACTTGAACTGACTTAAGGCCAGTCAGGCACAAACACACCTGGCGCTGAGCTGAAACTCCTCCTCGCTCTCTGCAGCCGTGCTGTCGCTCTCCAGGTCGTTGAGTCTCCGCCTCTTCCTGCTCCTGGTGGGAGGGGCCTGAGCTGTGGTTGGTCCTCGTTTCTCCTTCCCCTCTTCTGATAGGATGGTGGCCATGTCCTTACCCTGCCCTACTCCTACACACAGGACCACAGGGTTACACACAACAACACGAACACAGGCAGGCCACTATTCTGTCATCTAAACCCTCGGTTGCATCTTGTTCCTCATATTGAATGCGTCCAAAATGACACCATATTCACTTTATAGTGCACTACTATTGACCAGTGCCCTTAGGGCTATATAGGGCAGGGTTCTCAAACTGGCGTCCCGAGGGACGAATTTGGTTTTATTTGGCCCCCCAAGTTTTCTGAGCCAAAAAATAATCTGTTCCCAAGTATTCCCACGCATAATAGAGAGACACGTGATCGTATACAAATGTAAGTCAAACATTATATCTGTTTGGGCTTCTTGCGGGTAATTTGCAGTCTACAAATTATTTGTAATTATGTTCCGGCCCCTCGACCATCCGCTCAAGTAAAAAAATCGTCCCGCGGCTGAATCTAGTTGATGATCCCTGATATAGGGAATACGGTGCCATTTGAGACAGCCATTCAGTCCTCAGTCTACACACTCACTCCCTTTCGCTCTCTCCTTTATCTCTCCTCTCTATTTCTCACCTCCTCCATCCGCATCTCTGACGTCCTCCTCTATCGCTTCATCAATGGCGTCATCAAAGTCATCAAACCTGGAACACACACACCAGGGTTTACATTAGGAAAATGTGGAGTCGGACAACACAGGGTAGCCACGGATGTCCAAGGCTGACCGCGGTACTAAAATGTAATGTAATGGTACTGCAAGCATTGTTAGTAGAAAACAGGATCCCCATTATAGTATATGGAAAAATGGCAATCTTCGTGTTCAATCTTCATGTAAATGTTTTTTTTTTTTTTAAAGACAATCACGGTACCAATAATTGCTTCTAATACACCAATACCTTCGGAAAGTATTCAGACCCCTTCACTTTTTCCACTTTGTTACATTACAGCCTTATTCTAAAATGGATTAAATAATTAAAAATCCTCAATCTACACACAATACCCCATAATGACAAAACGAAAACAGGTTTTTAGATTGTTTTGCAAATGTATAAAAAAACTAAAAAATGATACCTTATTTACATAAGTATTCAGACCCTTTGCTATGAGACTCGAAATTGAGCTCAGCTGCATGCTGTTTCCATTGATCATCCTTGAGATGTTTCTACAACTTGATTGGAGTCCACCTATGGGAAATTCAAATGATTGGACATGATTTGGATAGGCACACACCTGTCTATATAAGGTCCCACAGTTGACAGTACATGTCAAAGCAAAAACCAAGCCATGAGGTCGAAGGAATTGTCTGTAGAGCTCCGAGACAGAATTGTGTCGAGGCACAGATCTGGGGAAGGACACAGTGGCCTCCATTTGGAACCACCAAGACTCTTCCTAGAGCTAGCCGCCCGGCCAAACTGAGCAATCGGGGGAGAAGGGCCTTGGTCAGGGAGGTGACCAAGAACCCGATGGTCACTCTGACAGAGCTCTAGAGTTCCTCTGTGGAGATGGTTGTCCTTCTGGAAGTTTCTCCCATCTCTGCAGTACTCTACCAATCAGGCCTTTATGGCAGAGTGGCCAGACGGAAGCCACTCCTCAGTAAAAGGCACATGAAAGCCCGCTTGGAGTTTGCCAAAAGGCACCTTAAGACTCTCAGACCATGAGAAACAAGATTCTCTGGTCTGATGAAACCAAGATTGAACTCTTTGGCCTGAATGCCAAGCGTCACGTCTGGAGGAAACCTGGCACCATCCCTACGGTGAAGCATGGTGGTGGTGGCATCATGCTGTGGGGATGTTTTTCAGCGGCAGGGACTGGGAGACTAGTCAGGATCGAGGCAAAGATAAACGGAGCAAAGTACAGAGAGATCCTTGATGAAAACCTGCTCCAGAGTGCTAAGGAACTCAGACTGGGGCGAAGGTTCACCTTGCAACAAGACAATGACCCTAAGCACACAGCCAAGACAACCCGGAGTGGCTTCAGGACAAGTCTCTGAATGTCCTTGAGTGGCCCAGCAAGAGCCCGGACTTGAACCCGATCGAACATCTCTGGAGAGACCTGAAAATAGCTGTGCAGCAACGGTCCCCATCCAACCTGACAGGCTTGAGAGGATCTGCAGAGAAGAATGGGAGAAGCTCCCCAAATATAGGTGTGCCACGCTTTTAGCGTCATACCCAAGAAGACTTGATGATGTAATTGCTGCCAAAGGTGCTTCAACAAAGTACTGAGTAAAGGGTCTGAATACTTATGTAAAATGTGATATTTCAGTTTTTTATTTGTAATACATTTGCTAAAATTTATAAAAACCAGTTTTTGCTTTGGCATTATGGGGTATTGTGTGTAGATTGATGAGGGAAAAAAACAATTTAATCAATTTATGAATAAGGCTGTAACATAACAAAATGTGGAAAAAGTCAAATGGTCTGAATACTTTCCGAAGGCACTGTATGTCCTTATACCTACTGTTTTAAAACTGCGCACAGAAGAAGTTCGAAGGATAATTTAGTTGCTAATGGCTGCCTGCAGTACACCGGTTGGCCTTCAATTTGAGTTACTCAATGAGAGGAGGCAGCACTGAGCTAGCCTGCAACATCACTTCCTGGAGTAGCTCAAACTAGATTTCTTGACGGGTCCAAAAAGTTGAACCCATTTTGAAATGGACTTGACCATTTGTTTTCTTCTCAATGATGATGCAGCGCTTGGGAAGGCTATTGGCAGTCAGAGAGCAGATTTAAATCCTCCACTTGTAATCAAATAGTCAAATTGAAAGATACAGTAGATTAGAGCCAGACTGCCTCATTACACCCACATCAGCCATTTTGTGTTGATTGTTTAGTTGCATACCATAGAAGCCACGTTATTTAAAATGCCAGCTAGTTTTACCTCCAATGAAAATCAAACATAACTATTTTTAACAACTTCAGTTCATTTAACAATTTCCAAACAGCCAGTTAATACTGTTAATATTTTCCAGCCTACACAGTCCATTGTGTACTTTATAGTAAACCCTCAGCAGTATAAGTCATCCCCCTCCCCAGCCCTGAGTTGCCTCAGAGCCTGTACCTGATATGCATAAAAATTTTTTTATATAAAGACCCGTTCTGTACGGACCCGAGGACAACTAGACCCGTTCCGTAAAGACCTGGTCGGATCCAGACCTGGTCCGATCTGAGTGAGGGAAGCAGCAGAAAAGGCATTTTTTTAGCTACTTTATTAACCGGAGCTGCTCTAGCAGACAGGGGAGGGGCCTTACTGTAAGCGAGTGACACAGGGAGAGACAGCAACCAACCAAGCCGACTCGTGCTATAGTAGACTAAGGGTAACGCTATTGTATACAGCACACCTGATGCAAGCGGTTCCATATGTGACAGAGATGAAAATCTCTGTTAGAAGCTTAGAATGAAGGAGAATCTAAAGATACAACTAGGATGGGTCTCTAAAATTGTGCCTTTGGCTTCCGGACAACGAAATAAAGTTGATATGAAAACCAATACAACAGAAGAGAAATGCTGGTTTCACTGGAATATGAGGAAGTCTTTATAAAATAATTGCCTCCAGGTTTCTATGGTCAGATTTTGCCTAGGCTACTTTGAAGCAAGGTAAAACATTCAGGTTTCAAATAATTAAGTATTTGTTTTCAAAATGTATACTGCCTCCAGCTCACACTGCAAAGTAGTGGGTGACTCGCTGATAGCCTGCCTACCATAGCCTACGCACTTGAATGGCGAATGGGAGGCGCGCTTCAATTACCAGTTGAGGAAAAAATATATAGTAGCTCTTTACAATCGTGGCCAACAAAACTGTTTTTAACATGCAATTGCATTTAGAATTGTTGCGCAATGACATGTTTCACTCCAGCAGCAACGAGTTTGACAAGTGATATTCCGCTCAAAATAGGCTCTGTATGCTTGTGATAAATAAGATGCATGACGACTAATGAAAGTACACACGCCCCAATTTAGTTCCACTAAATGTAGCAAATTAACCTATAGACCGATAAGCATGACGGTCAAATGTATTTCCATCGACTGATATTTCCATCAATGAATTCAACTACATTTTGCAATGGGATTATTTTTCCTCTGCCAAAAGCCGGCAATTACTAGCTAACAGAAACCCATTTTATTTGAGCTGTGCTGTCACTTCTATTTCTCTCACACACACACACACACACCTGTAGCTGATACACTTCCTGGTTCTGGTAGACCTCCTTCCCAGGTTTTTGGTCTTTTTTGCATCTTTCTTCTTCGCCTGTTTCTCCTCTTCTCCCTCCCCTTCCTGCTAGAAACACATAACACACACATTCAGATTATGATCATTGATTTGGCCTTCTAGACTCATTTTGCCTGATAGCCTAATTGTGTGTGCGTGTACTTACAGGAATGATGTTCTCCACACTGATTCCCACATACACCAGACGCTCCCTCCTAGAGACAAAACACACAGGAATTACACAACCATTTCAGTGTGTTAGGTGTGTGTGTGAGTGAGACTGTGTGTGAGACTGTGTGTGTGTATGTGTGTGTTACCTCCTCTCAGCTCGGTCTCTTTTCTTCAGAGCGCAATCCAGATTCTGCAGCTGCTCCTCTAGTCTGTCACACAGCAGCTTCTACAGAGACCAGGGACAGTGTTAACACACATACACGCGCACACACACACACACACACACACACACACACACACTCTCTCTCTCTCTCTCTCTCTCTCTCACTTACGTGTTGGCAGGGCGGGCAGAACCATTCTCCCTCAGGTATGACCATGAGAGGGGGTCTGAGACAGGCGGTGTGGTAACCACTATCACATGAATCACACAGCAGGATCTGCAGCAGAGAAACACACAGGTTGGTTTCAAACGGAGTGTACGCGCATTCAGGTGCTGGGTACAAATAAACTCATGAAATCAAGAATAGATAGTGATCTGCAGAAGGGAAACAGTTTAAACACACAGTGTTTCTGGCTTCACAGTAAAGCACACACAACACTTCATAAGTCATACAGATGCCGAGATGTAAAGAAACAAGAAACACATTCTCCTCCACACACTCTCTTCTCACCAGTTCGGGGTGGTTGGGGAGTCCACAGTGGCTGCAGGGATCTTCATTAGGCGTCTCTTCTGATTGGCTAGAGTCATCTGAGTCACAAATACTTCCCTCCCTCCCTCTCTCCTCCTCCCTCCCTCTCTCCTCTCCTCCCTCGTTCGGTTTGCATCTCTTCGCTCGAGTGTTTGACCAGCGGGCGCCTCGTTGTCTTCGTCTGCTCTGTAGACACAAACACATGGTTACAATCAAGCACATTGACAACCAACAATTTCTTGGCTATGATCATTTTGGTATTCATACAAAGCCTTATTCCTACATCACTTATAAATGAGTAAATTAAACTTTTAAAACAAAGTAGTTACCTTTACAGTCCTGCTTTGTCCCTCAGGGTTTGCTCTCTTCTTTTGCCATTGAGCAGTCTTCCCCTCCTCTTCTTCCTCCCTCACTCTCGGGGGTGCGTCTTGGCTCTCCACCTTGTTTGGGCTGGGTCTGTAGGTAGGGTTGATCAGTAAAATATCAATTTACAGAACAATGGAGACAGCTCCAACAACACCAGCAGAGCTGGGGCACAGTTGGAGAAGATAGCCAAAGACAGTCAGAAGTGGAGAGCCTTTGTTGCTGCCCTATAAGCTAGTCGGCACGACGGGGATGAGTGAGTTACAGCAGAATATTGTATCTATTGTTCAGCTCTACATGATAAATTGTCACCTCAGTTATTGTGATGAAATAAGTTATATTATGGTAATAATCATTGAGACATTGTGATGGGAAGAGATTCCATCATGGACCTTACCTGCAGATCCGAGCCGATCTCCGCAGAGACCTCCCATCTCCCTGCTCCTCCCCCTTATCCTCCTCCTCTCTCACGTTCTCTATCCTCTGGTTGGGAGGGATCTTTATCTTCAGCCTGATCCCTTCTTTCTGCAGCTCAGAGGAGGCCTCCAGGGGACCCGGCCGGTCTGCTGCTCCATGCCCAGCTCCCCTCACCCCGGCATGGGCTGGTGTGTCTGTGCTGAGGGCCTCTCCCTGGTCCTCCTGGTCCCTCTGTCCTTCAACAGTCTGGCTGCTCTCGGACCCCTGCTCCTTCTCTCCTGAGGTACTCTTCTTCTTTGCTTCTTCCTCTGTTCCATGGCATCCCTCGCTTTTCTCCATATGGAGGGTGGTCTTTTTCTCTTCTTTCTCTTTTGGGTTGTCATCCCTCTCTCCAGACTGGTCTCCATCTAACCTCTCCCTCGCGTTCTCTCTTCCATCCTCTCCTAACCTCTCCCTCGATCTCTCTCCTTTCTCATTCCTTTCCCTCTCTCTCTCCTCTCCTCCTGCCTGTCTCTCCTGTCCTCTAGGCTCCAGGGGTGTTGGGGCTCCAGTCTCTCCCCAGCCAGGGCTCTTCCTCACCAGGACTGACTGCCTGCTCCTCTCCTCCCCCTCCTCCTCTGCCCCTGGTCTGGTTCTCTCCGTACAGACCGATCCGCCATCTTGTTGCTGCGAGGCCGACCTGCAGATGACCCCCACATGACCTATACCCCCTGTGAGCCCTCCAAGCCCGTTTAGGGGAGCCCCCCCATTGGTCAGCTCCTCTGGCAGTGGGATAGCCAGGCCCACAGGTGGCGCTGACTGCCTCCCCAGCTGCTCCTCCTTGGTATGTGTTACTGAAGGGTTACGGACGATGATGCTACTGCTAGTACTGCTGCTATGGCTATTGTTGTTATGATGCGTATTGCTATGGTGACGGTTGGCACCAAAGAGCTCTCTCTTCTTCAGTGGTATCTTGGCCTGCTGGTCGGTCCTCAGGGCCCGTTCCGCTTCCTCCTTCACAGGAGGAATTTCCAGTTTTGTCGTTGCTGAGATGGGCACCATGACAACGGAGACAGCGTTGCTAGGGGAGTTGCTAAGCGTTTGGGGCTCCTCTTTGACGAGCGCAGTGATGGTGCTCACTCTGTTGTCAATCACTTCTGACCTCTCCTCCTTCCTCACACTCTGTGTCTCTCCCTCTTCTTTCTCACCACGTTTTTTTATTTCCTTTTCTTCCTTCATCTCAACTGCAATGTTTTCCTCCTTCACTGAGACTACCGGTTCAAGCTTGGTTGGGTTTTCCTTCTCTGCTAAAGACGCCGTGTTGTCATCCGTACTAGTGGATTCTGGGTAGGGAGATGATCTACTCTTCTCTCGCTTATCCTCCTCCTCTCTCTCTTTACTCTTGTTCTTGTCTTCCTCAGCCTTCCTCTTCAGTCTTTCCTCCTCCTCTACCTCTCCTCCAGCCTCGCCTTGAAAAATCACCACACATGATGACATATTATATTGCAGCTCTGGTTCCAACATTCATTTATAATAACACAATTATAATTTATCAGTAGTAACAACACAATAATTTACTAGTAACTACACCATCATATTACAAGTAGCAACAGAACCCTTACCCTCCTCCTTGTGTCTTCTCCCCCTCTCCACAGGTTTGGCACAGTTGGATCCTCCCTCCTTCTCTCTGTCCATGTCTTTCTCTCTCTCCGTCTCTCCCTCCTCTTTCTCCTTGTGTTCTGGGTCCAGCTGGGTCTTCAGGAGGTCTAGAGCATCGGCCAAGTCGTTCCGGGTTCTGAGGACAAACAGAATATTCTGAACATACAGTGCCGTGAAAACGTATTTGCCCCCTTTGTGATTTTCTCTATTTTTGCATAATTCCCCTGTTTGAAAATGTAATTGCCCCCTTACATTCAATAACTGGTTGTGCCACCTTTAGCTGTAATGACTGCAACCAAATGCTTCCTGTAATTGTTGATCAGTCTCTCACATGGTTGTGGAGGAATTTTGGCCCACTCTTGCATGCAGAACTGCTTTAACTCAGCGACATTTGTGGGTTTTGAAGCATGAACTGCTCGTTTCAAGTCCTGCCACAACATCCCAATTGGGATTAGGTCTGGACTGACTCGGCAATTCTAAAACTTCAAATGTGTTGCTTTCTAACCATTTTCATGTAGACTTGATTGTGTGTTTTGGACCATTGTCTTGCTGCATGACACAGCTGTGCTTTAGCTCACAGACGTTTTGGAATGGCCTAGTCAAAGTCCAGACCTAATCCCAATTGAGATGTTGTGGAAGGACTTGAAATGAGCAGTTCATGCTTGAAAACCCACAAATGTCGCTGAGTTAAAGCAGGAAGCGTTTGGTTGGAGTCATTGCAGCTAAAGATGCCACAACCAGTTATTGAGTGTAAGGGGGCAATTACTTTTTCACAAAGGGGCATTGGGTGCTGCATAACTTTGTTTATGAAATAAGTATGTAATTGTTGTGTTATTTGTTCACTCAGGGTCCCTTTATATATTATTAGGTTTAGGTTGAAGATCTGATAACATTCAGTATCATAAATATGCAAAAGTAGAGAAAATTAGCAAGGGGGCAAATTATTTTTCACCCTTTCTCTCTCCTAAGATGCTCCAACTAGGGTTGCAAAAAATATATATTATAAAAGATCCATCCATCGTTACCTGACGATACATCTCCAGGTGGATCCGTCCCAGTCGTCCTGTTCCTCTGTGTACAGGCGAATGTTGTGTTGGGCGTCAATCTGCAGCCAGTACATCAGGCCCTGTCTGTCTCTGCCCAATGGCTGCAGCCTCATCGCCTCCGCCTCCTCCTCGTTCACCAACGTCTTGAACTTCAGGTTGTCATCAAACTGGATCTCACACAGGTACTGGGGTCAGGGGTTAGAGAGATGAGGGGGTTAGGGTCAGACAGAGAGAAGAAAACAGTACAGTGCCTTCAGAAAGTATTCACACCCCTTAACTTTTTCCACATTTAATTGTCATTTTTTGTCAAAGATCTACACAAGAAAAAAAGATTCATGAAACAGAAATACATGTTAGAATCACCTTCGACAGCAATTACAGCTGTGGGTCTTTCTGGGTAAGTCTCTAAGAGCTTTGCAAACCTGGATTGTACAATATTTGCCTATTATTCTTTTTAAAATTCTTCAAGCTCTGTCAGGTTGGTTGTTGATCATTGCTAGACAGCCATTTTCAAGTCTTGCCATAGATTTTCAGCCAGATTTAAGTAAAAAATGTAACTAGGCCAGTCAGGAACATTCAATGTCGTCTTGGTAAGTAACTCCAGTGTTGGCCTTGCGTTTTAGGTTATTGTCCGGCTGAAAGGTGGATTTATCTCCCAGTGTCTGTTGGAAAGCCAGGTTTTCCTCTAGGACTTTGCCTATGCTTAGCTCTTTGCCTTTTCTTTTCATCCTAAAAAACTCACTCGTCCTTGCCGATGACAAGCATACCCATAACATGATGCAGCCACCACCATGCTTGAAAATATGAAGAGTGGTACACAGTGATGTGTTGGATTTGCCCCAAACATAATGCTTTGTATTCCGGACAAAAAGTTCATTTCTTTGCCACATTTTTTGCAGTATTACTTTAGTGCCTTTTGCAAACAGGATGCATGTTTTGGAATATTTGTATTCTGTACAGGCTTCCTTCTTTTCACGCTGTCATTTAGGTTTGTATTGTGGAGTAACTACAATGTTGTTGATCCATCCTCAGTTCTCCTATCACAGCCATTTAACTCTGTAACAGGTTTAAAATCACCATTGGCCTCATGGTGAAATCCCTGAGTGGTTTCCTTCCGCTCCGTCAACTGAGTTAGGAAGAACGCCTGTATCTTTGTAGTAACTGGGCGTATTGATACACCATCCAAAGTGTAATTAATAGCTTTCCCAATGTTCAAAGGGATATTCAGTGTCTGCTTTATTTTGATTTTTTACCCATCAACATTTACATTTGAGTCATTTAGCAGACGCTCTTATCCAGAGCGACTTACAGTTAGTGAGTGCATACATTATTATAAAAAAAAAAAAAAATCATACTGGCCCCCCATGGGAATCAAACCCACAACCCTGGCGTTGCAAACGCCATGCTCTACCAACAGAGCTACATCCCTGCCGGCCATTCCCTCCCCTACCCTGGACGACACTGGGCCAATTGTGTGCCGCCCCATGGGTCTATCTACCAATAGGTGCTCTTCTTTGCAGTTTTCGTTGTTGAATCTGTGCTTGAAATTCACTGCTCGACTGAGGGACCTTACAGATAATTGTATGTGTGGGGTACAGAGATGAGATAGTCATTCAAAAATCATGTTAAACACTATTATTGCACACAGAGTTAGTCCATGCAACTTATCTGACTTGTTAAGCACATTTCTACTACTGAAGTTATTTAGGCTTGCCATAACAAAGGGGTTGAATACTTATTGACTCAAGATATTTCAGCTTTAAATGTATTAATTTGTAAAGATTTCTAAAAAAAAAATTCCACTTTATGGGGTATTGTGTGTAGATCAGTGACACAACATCTAAATGTAATACATTTTAAATTCAGGCTGTAACACAAAATGTGGAAAAAGTTGAGGGGTGTGAATACTTTCTGAAGGCACTGTATATTATCAATACTCTTCATACATAGAGTAGATATCACAACGGAGGTAAAGAGGTAGACTGGTATCTTAGTGTGATAGTCTGCACAAGGTGTGTGTGTCTTACTTTGAGGATGCTGGTTTTGCACTCCATGCTCATGTCTTGGTAGCCTTTGTGTTCCAGCTCCCATGCCCAGCTACTGTTGATGTCCTGGCATACCTGGGTGATAAATATACATTCATTACAGGTGTACACACACACACACAGTCACACACACACAGTCACACACACACACCAAGCACAGCTCACCTTTGCCAGGTACCTCTCCCACTTGTCTGCAGACACAGACTTGCCAAGCTTCCTCAAAAGCTTGATGTGCAGCTCCACCAGTGGCGTGGGAACTGAGAGAGATACACACAGAGAGAGATAATACATGAGTTAATACATTTGTTTGTTATAAAACTAAACACACTGTCATAACACCAGCTAGTATAACACTAAACACTTATTACAACACATGTGCTATGGGAATAAAAAAAATCAACATTCTCTTCATTTATTCTGAATGTCTGTGTAATTCACATTGATTCACACTTTCTTAGAATTATTCTCAAAGATCTAGCTAACAGTGGCACAGGTGGAGGTAAGATCAACAACTGTGATTGATTGTCATTTTTTGCATTAATAAAAAAAACACGACGATGTGTTTGGTGAACAAGGGAGGAAATGTGGAAAATGCTAACAACGTTATCACGGCAGTCTACATACAGTTAACTAACTAGCTAGCTAGTAACAACATATTTCCTACAGATACTGTAACGTTAGTAGCTAGCTAGGTACGCCACACACAGCTAGCCAGATAGCTAGCTAAATCGTGACAAGAAAACCTCAGTAGCTACCATTGTCTCTAAAGATGATTGAAATAGTTAGAACTGTGGCAAATGTAAAGTCTGAGGAATTTGAAATCAGCGGTATTTTATTTTAATGAATTGATAGCCACCAACACAACTAACGTTAGCTTGGTTTAGCGTGAAGTTGGCTAGCTCGGCTACATCACGCATTGCGCCTGCGCGAAATTGACAGTCAGCAACCCTACTTGCCAAGTAGTGTTTTTATCGGACTATTTTGACAACTGTTTACGACACGATTTGCCAGAATACGAGATCGATTGTATTCAAACTGTATTTACTCATACACAACTGGGGCTGAGTTTTATACTTTTCTTGCACTAGTATGGATAGGCAAACATGATGGAAAAGTACACCTGATAGCTAGCGAGCTAACAAAATGAAGCTAACTAGCTAGTTTGGTAATTCAAACAGGAATGGCTAGTTAGCTACTTATCAAATAGCTAAGTAACGGTACATCTAGCTATCTAGCTACATCAATCAGTAACGTTAGCCAGTTATACCCAGGCACATGTCACAGTGTCACTAGCTAGCTGTACTGGCTCCCCCCTGACCACCCAGCTAGCTAACAAGTCAGTGATGATGATGCTGAGACCCTCTTCCTCTCCCTTCCCACCTGTCGATGTGTCCCGGAGATACCTCTCCATCTGCGGAAATGTGAGTTCGGGGAGGTCCAGGGCTTGTCCGTAGCGCTCCAGGAACGAGCAGACCACTGCGAAACTGGGGCAGAGACCGGGGTTTGAGCCCTGCGCTGCCGCTGAAGCAGCCATTTTTCCAGCCGGGGAGTAGGATGAGAATGAACGGAGTTGGGAGGACAGAAAAGAGCCCAGAATTCAGCGCGCCAACATCGCATCGTGGGTGGCTCTGTGACCAGGTAGTCCCCCTACCACTATCCCACAAGGGACGCAAGTTTCAAACATCAATAATGTTCTTGTTGTGGTTTATTATCTAGGCCCAAACGATTACTAAACATTTCATTTCCTGGTAGGACAATGCGTCATGTAGCTAGCAGGCATATTTTAGGTGCTCTACAGTCTATAAATTATAACGTTGCGGCCATCGTGCATAATATAGCTAGTTTTTTATTTTACATAGCTACGGTAGTTGGCGAATTACGTCAGTGGTTACATTATTCACAGCAATGTCCAATGTAACATCACCCGTTTATGTAAAATAGAAATGTGATTTGTGGAAAAAGACAGGAGGACCAGCACCGTTTGGATGCGGATCTTGCGCACCACCGGTGAAAATGTGGCCTGTGATTGGATATAATATTTGCCGGAGGAGGGCGTGTACAGACGCTAGAGGGAGGGTAGGCAACTCTGTATCTACATACTGTGCCTTAAGAAAGTAAATACCTTGACTTATTGCACATTTTGTTGTGTTCCAGCCTGAATTCAAAATGATAAAAAATAAACAAAAAGTCAACCAATAATGATGTTTTTAGACATTTTTGCAAATTTATTGAAAATGAAATACAGAAATATCTCATTTACATAAGTATTCACAACCCTGAGTCAATACTTTGTAGAAGCACATTTGGCAGCGATTACAGCAGTGAGTCTTTCTGGGTATGTCTCTAAGAGCTTTCCACACCTAGATTGTGAAATATTTGCCTATTATTCTTTTCACAATTCTTCAAGCTCTGTCAAATTGATTGTTGATCATTGCTAGACAACCATTTTCAGGTCTTGCCATAGATTTACAAGTACATTTAAGTGAAAACTGTAACTCGGCCACTCAGGAATATTCACTGTCTTCTTGGTAAGCAACTCCAGTGTATATTTGGCCTTGTGTTTTAGGTTATTGTCCTGCTGAAAGTTGAATTCATTTCCCAGTGGAAAGCAGACGGAACCAGGTTTTCCTCTAGAATTTGCCTGTGCTTAGCTCCATTCCGTTTCTTTTTTATCCCGAAAAACTCCCCAATCCTTAACGATGACAAGCATACCCTTAACAATGATGCAACCAACACTATGCTTGAAAATATGGAGAGTGGTACTCAGTAATGTGTTGTATTGGATTTGCCCCACACATAACACTATGTATTCAGGACAAAAATGTCAATTGCTTTGCCACATTTTTGCAGTATTACTTTAGTGCCTTGTTGCAAACAGAATGCATGTTTTGGAATATTTTTATTCTGTACAGGCTTCCTTCATTTCACTCTATCAATTTTACTCCTATCACAGCCATTAAACTCTGTAACTGTTTTAAAGTCACCATTGGCCTCATGGTGAAATCCCTGAGTGGTTTCCTTCCTCTCCGGCAACTGAGTTAGGAAGGACACCTGTATTGTTGTAGTGACTGGGTGTATTGATACACCATCCAAAGTGTAATTAATAACTTCATCATGCTCAAAGTGATATTCAATGTCTGCTTTATTTTTGATTTTTTCCCATCTACCAATAGGTGCCCTTCTTTGCGAGGCATTGGAAAACCTCCCTGGTCTTTGTGGTTGAATCTGTGTTTGAAATTCACTGCTCGATTGAGTGTTTAACAAAGTCATGTTAAACACTATTATTGCACATGGAGTGAGTCCATGCAACTAATTATGTGACTTGTTAATCAAATTGTTACTCCTGAACTTATTTAGGCAAGCCATAACAAAGGGGTTGAATACTTATTGACTCAAGACATTTCAGCTTTTCATTTTTAATTAATTAGTAAACATTTCTAAAAACATAATTCCACTTTGACATTATGGGGCATTGTGTTTTAGGCCAGTGACCCCCAAAAAATGACAATTTCTAACACAACAAAATGTGGGAAAAGTCAAGGGTTGTGAATACTTTCTGCAGGCACTGTAAGCTACAATGTTTCCTACCAGAAACTTCTACATTAAAAACATTTAATAAAGTATTTCTGTCTGTAATAAAGTAATTTTTTGAGGAAAAACTCATTCTGATTGGCTGGGCCTGGCGCCCCAGTGGGTCGGCCTGGCTCCCAAGTGGGTGGGCCTATGCCCTCCCAGGCTCACCCATGGCTGTGCCCCTGCAGAGTCATGTGAAATCCATAGATTAGGGCCTAATTCATTTATTTCAATTGAATGATTTCCTTATATGAACTGTAAATCTTTGAAATTGTTGCATGTTGCATTTATATTTTTGTTCAGTATATATGGTGATACTGATGTCAATATGTAGGCTAGAACATACAGGGGCAACTAAACACTAACCCTCTGCTTATAGCTATCCAGATTCCAGACCCTTCAAAACTACAAACATCAAAGGGTTAGTGGGGCCAAGGGGAAGGGTAGGGAGCAAATTGAGATCAGCTTTCTATGTAGGCCTAGTCTACCCTACTCACAGGCCCTGCTCCTTCCTTCCTTAAACTGAGCCAGGAAAGGTAGCCTTAAGGAAACCAGCTTGATCTCGCAATAGCACACAATATGTTTCACTCAAAACTAAACGTGAGCGCTACGATCAGTCTGATTAACCAGGCTAATGGAGTGGTCCTAGACTTGGCAGTGGCTATATGGGGTTGTAGTGATGCCTAAAGTCCAGCAGGTGAAACCATTTTACTGATGTGTGGACTGTTAGATCAGGCTAGATGGAAAACAAATCTCCACTACAACTACCCAACATCATCTGACCTGGTTAGCACTGTGTCTGGGATGGGACTCACATGGCTGTTGTCCATAAATCAATGCTGTTGTCAGAGGGGTGTTTCTACTCTAGTCTGACTGCCTAATCTTTCCAAATCTCATCTTGTTGAAGGGCGTCCAAGGCTATTTCTGACCAGACTGTCGTCAGCCTCTTCCAGCCTGATCAATTCATCAACCACAGCCAAATTCCGGTTACAACGTTATAGACCATGTCAACCACAAGCATCCTCTACCTCTACCATAGCCAACCACAGCCTTCTGTTCCTCACCACCACAGCCAAAACCTCATGTGCATCCTAAATGGCACCCTAGACCCTACATAGTGCACTACTTTTGACCAGAGCCCTATGGGCCCCAATCAAAAGTAGTGCACTACAGCACATAGGGACTAGGGTGCCATTTGGAACACATACATTATAGAACCATCTCAACCACAGTCTGCTCTATGGGCACAGCTAACCTGATTAGCCTACATTGTTAGCTGGCAGCAGGAGGCTACTTGCTATATGTCTATGGCACATCTGTTAGCAGTAAACCAGCAGACTGTACGTTTATCAGATCAGGCTGACCTATGGCCATTCATCTCTATTATAACCCTACTCAGAGAGCAGACATACCCTGTAAACCTGAAAGTCAGATCACAATCAGACTTTCAAGCCAAGCTCTTCCTCAAACCTCAAATCCCATCTCAAAACTTAAATCACGTTATGACATTTTGATAGTCAGTGTTATGGGTTGTACATACTTCAGCCAAATGTAGATTCATGTATTTGGACTGTAGACCGCAACCAATAGTCCAGGGCTGGGTTTCCCAAAAGCACCGTAGCACTAAGATCATCTTAATTCCATTTAAATTAAATGGATGAAATATTTTCTTAGTGCTACGATGCTTTTGGGAAACCCAGCTCAGTTCTGAAGAATGCTGAAGGACAGACAGACACAAAGACAGAATTTGCACAACAGATCTCTCCTTCAATATGTTCACAAAACAAAAGCAAATCTCATGAGCTCTGTATAGCTGATGATTATATTAGCAGCAGCAGCTGATGATGATATTAGCAGCAGGAACAGGCTGGAAACAGTGCTTAGTCCCCTCCTGTACTCCCTGTTCACCCACGACTGCGTGGCCAAACACGACTCCAACACCATCATTAAGTTTGCTGACGATACAACAGTGGTAGGCCTGATCACCGACAACGATGAGACAGTCTATAGGGAGGAGGTCAGAGACCTGGCAGTGTGGTGCCAGGACAACAACCTCTCCCTCAATGTGAGCATCGACGGGGCTGCAGTGGAGCGGGTCAAGAGTTTCAAGTTCCTTGGTGTCGACATCACCAACAAACTATCATGGTCCAAACACACCTAGACAGTTGTGAAGAGGGCACGACAACACCTTTTCCCCCCCAGGAGACTGAAAATATTTGGCATGGGTCCCCAGATCCTCAAAGAGTTCTACAGCTGCACCATCGAGAGCATCCTGACCGGTTGCATCACCGCCTGGTATGGCAACTGCTCGGCATCTGACTGTAAGGCGCTACAGAGGGTAGTGCGTACGGCCCAGTACATCACTGGGGCCAAGCTTCCTGCCGTCTAGGACCTATGTACTAGGCGGTGTCAGAGGAAGGCCCAAAAAATTGTCAAAGACTCCAGTCACCCAAGTCATAGATTGTTCTCTCTGCTACCGCACGGCAAGCTGTACCGGAGCGCCAAGTCTAGGAACAAAAGGCTCCTTAACAGCTTCTACCCCCAAGCCATAAGACTGCTGAGCAATTAATCGAATTGCCACCCGCTGTCTATTATCTATGCATAGTCACTTTACCCCTACCTACATGTACAAATTACCTCGACTAACCTGTGCCCCCACACATTGACTCAGTACCGGTGCCCCCTGTATATAGCCTCGTTATTGTTATTTTATTGTGTTACTTTTTATTATTTTTTACTTTAGTTTATTTGGTAAATATTTACTGCATTGTTGGTTAAGGTCTTGTAAGTAAGCATTTCACAGTAAGGTCTACACCTGTGGAATTCTGCGCATGTGACAAATAAAGTATGACGTTATTTTATTTGAAATGACTTTGAAGTTTTATATTGGGATAAAGTTGTCAGAACACGTTCTCCAGTCATGTCCAGTAGAGGGCGCTGTGTCCCTCTGTTCTGCAGGTCATGCTGCGTTTGTCCAAATGACACACTTTTCCCTATTTAG